CCTGCATGCGATGAGGCTACCAGGCCCACAGAAGTGGCTCCATCTGGGGATGGTGATCGTCTCAAAGAGAAAGAGACGGTGACCCATACGCCAGGAGACAGCACTGGCCTGAGCCTGGCCCTCAGCCTCGGACAGTCCACCGACAGCCTTGGCCCGTACGGCGAAGGAGCAGAGGGCCACGAGAAGAGGCCGAGTGTGGACCGACAGGCCTCCACTGTGGAGTATCTCCCTGGCATGCTCCACTCCGGCTGCCCAAAGGGACTGCTGCCTAAGTTCTCCAGCTGGTCCCTGGTCAAACTCGGTCCAGCTAAAGCTTACAACAGCCTCACAGGCTTAGAGCAGCCTGGCTTCCTCCCCGGCTCGGCCTTTCTCCTGCCATGGGACGTGGTGATCCGAAGCCGCTCAGAGGACGACGCAGGCTCTATTGAGGCTCTGGATGGCGGACCCTCGTCGTGGCCAGCTCCCAACAAAGCACCAGCTGGGAAGCGGGGCAGCGGTGGCGGGGTTGGACGCGGCCGCAGGCGTGACGACGTTGCGCGTGCCTACGTTGGGTTTGAGTACGAGGACAGCAGAGGCCGCCGGTTCCTCAGCTCCGGTCCAGATAAGATCGTGAAAGTTCTCGGACAGGGAGGTGCAAAAGAACCAGCTACTCGAGCGCTAAACTCAGACATGCCCCTGTACATCCCGTCTCCCGCCCAAGGCAGAGGCATCAAACCACACTATGCTCAGCTGGCTAGGCTCTTCATTGTGGTTCCTGATGCCCCACTCGAGATCACCCTTAGCCCACAGGTAAAGTAGACAACCACTAGACCTTCTAGCTTTTTTATAACTACTTATAAATATACACTGAGTTGCCTTTTAATTAGGTGCACCTACCATTTAGGTGCAGTTGGTAGGTATACAGTTACTGGCTGTAGCCCATCAATTGTTTTTGTTTGTCACCCATCCTCCATGACGTTGGTCAATAGAAATGGACAGCGATGTAGTCTAGTCTGAAATTGTTGGTATAGCAAGACTAGCCCAGCTAGCACACAGCAACATAACTAAAACATATATCATACCATTATAAATACTCTCCACTCTTTAATGGTACATTAGTGGATTCCGGTATAATCCTAAGCATATTTCAGTTAGTGCAGTGCAAAAGTCAGAGACCAGCCTTGATTTATTTATATATATATCTGAGTTTAACTTGAGTTATTCATTTTTCAGCATAAGAAAAAGCAGAAAATGGGTATTTAACACAAAAGTCACAAGCACTAAAATATATAACAATGTTCAATATTTAGTGTGTCCACCCTTTGCCTTTTTACAGCTTCCTTTCTTTTCAAGAGACTCACTTTCCATTTTTCAAATAAGTCTACAGAGAACACCTCCAAAGTTCAGTCTTAGAAGTTGGTTGCATTTTCTGAATCTCACGATCCAATAAATCTAATAAAACTTAAGATTCATTACTCCATAAAACCTTACTCCACATCTCAGGGGTCTAGTTTTGGTGTTCAAGTGCAAATTTCCTTATTTTTTTTGTCTGTTTCCTTTTCTCAGAAATGTTTTTTTAACAGCTACACATCCTTTATGACCCATAGCGTTGAATTGTCTTCTCACAGTGTAAGGATGATCAAAAATACCTGTTATTATTATTTATTTTTTTTAAAAAAAAGCTTTTTTCCCTTGACTTTTCCCTTCTTAATAGATTATATTATATCTAATCTGCTCAAATATATGCCTTGAGTAAAAATAGCCAGTCATGGTAAACAAGGCCTGTCAGCATCTGTGCATTTGAATAAGACACAGCCAGTCATGCTGACTAAAATTATGAACAGCTAAATGTATTTGAACACCTAGAAACTAAAAATAGCTGCAGCGAAATAAAATCTTTACGAATAAACTATAGAGCTCATGTTAGCGTTGTGATTTTTGTCCATCACTTTTATTTTAGAGTGATTAGATGGTTTGACAGATTGTTCATATTCACAAACAAAGTCACACAGTAATGTGATTACAGGGCTTTAAGCCATAAACTGAATTTAAACATTAAAAAGTCACATTACTGTAATGTGTTAATTTGCACGGCATTACTCCCAACACTGTTGAGGAAGCAAGGGAGAGTTTTATTTCACATACAGTGGTGGAAAAAGCCAGAGATCTGAGTTATCGTGCATTTTCAGTACGCAAGACTCAGTGGTTCCCTATTATACTGTGTTTACCTGTGTGTTACGTGCACTACACCAGTAGAAAGGGACCACTTTAGGACAACCACTGACCACATTTATAGTGATTGACCACTCTCAGCACCGCAGTGATACCATTATTGTCTGCAGTAACACTGACGTGGTAGTGGTGGTGTGTTAGTGTGTGTTGTGCTGGTACGAGTGGATCAGACACAGCAGTTCTGCTGGAGATTTTAAACACTATGTCCACTCACTGTCCACTCTATTAGACACTCCTACCTTGTTGGTCCACCTTGTAGATGTAAAGTCAGAGCTCATCTGCTGCTGCACAGTTTGTGTTGGTCATCCTCTAGCCCTTCATCACTGGTCACAGGACGCTGCCCACAGGACGCTGTTGGCTGGATATTCTTGGTTGGTGGACTATTCTCAGTCCAGCAGTGACACTGAGGTGTTTAAAAACTCCAGCAGCACTGTTGTCTAACACCATGTCAGTGTTACTGCAGTGCTGAGAATGATCCACCACCCTAATAGTACCTGCTCTGTGAGGGTCCATGGGGGTCCTGACCACTGAAGAACAGGGTAAAAGGGGGCTAACAAAGTATCAGAGAAACAGATGGACTACAGTCTGTAACTGTAGAACTACAAAGTGCACCTATATAGTAAGTGGAGCTGATAAAATGGACAATGAGCGTAGAAACAAGGAGGTGGTCAGAATGTTATGCCTGATCGGTGTATTGTGTACCTAATAAACTGAGAAAGTCATTTTCCCAGTGTAACACTGGCTCTTCCAGTCAGTAATAGGAGCTTTGTTTGAACTTGCTCTTGTGGTTGTGGTTCAGAGTGACTGGACTTGTATGATCTTGTAGACATTTTGCTGCTCATCCAGTGAGTGTTGAAATGTCCAGTCACCTTGACTTACTAATACTAGACTGTTCAATGACCTGGATGACTGAAAGGCTTTGTCATTTACAGTCATTTTACAGTCAAAAACAATTTCTGTTGTACTTGAGAGAGATTTTAGATCACATACAGATGTACATAAAAGACATCACACACATTGTGGTCTGCATGATTCATTTTTGTGCTTTTTTTTTTTATTATTCCCTCATGAACAGGTTCAGCCAGGTCCTCCGCCCTGTCCCATTTTCCATCCCGAGCAGGCGGAGGTTGTGCTGCCCCCTGATGGACTGTGGGTGCTACGATTCCCATATGCCTACGTGACAGACCGGGGACCATGCTATCCGCCCAAGGAGAATCAACCGCTGGCAAGCTTCAGGGTCCTGAAGGGCATCTTGCGCGCCAATACCGCTAGTTCTCCTCCGCAGTGACCCCCAAACAAACACAGCACTTCAGTGAACTCTTGAGTCACCTGTTATATCGGACAGCCTGAAGGGCCCTTTTTTCCTTGATGTGTTGCCTCTCCTTGATTATGTTCGTTTACTCTGTAGCTGCTTATTTCATGCTCGGTTTGATTATGATTCAGAGACTTGATTTATGAAAAGCAGTTTAATAAATAGCTCTGTTGTGTTTACGCTGCAGTGCGGTGGAGAATAAAGGTTAGTTGTTATGAGACTGATGCATTATTTTGCATTAAAATCTTGCAATAAAATGCTTTATGGAAATGAGCCACGTTTGTATTTACATTGCCATTGAGTTAAAGGGGAACCCCACTGATTTTTTAAAAATTCTGCATTATTAAATGGTTGAGATGTAAACAGAGTCATCCGGAGTGGTTTGGTGTGAAACGCTCCATTTTAGAGAAACTTAAGGAGTCAGATTTGTTCACGGTGGTGGTCATAGGAACCAGACGTCCACCTCTAAAAGCTCCCTCACAAGTCATTACACAACATGGTTATGAATTCACTGCCTGATGTCTGAGACGCTGTTTTGTGAAAGTTTTGGTTTAAAAATGTGTTTTAATCTATTAAACCCATTCATGGTGGAGGGATTCATGCAGGGCACTGTGAGGCAAAATTGTCCCCAAATAAAATGTATTTTTTTCAATATTCCATATAAACTCGTGTAGGTTCACTGGTGGTTCTGGATAGTAAATAAAATGTCTATATTTGTGTTGTAGTCATGTGACCCCTGGTTCCTATCATCACCACTGTAAGACATCAAGAGAGTCAGCAAGTTTCTCTACAATGAACTGATTTACACCAAACCGCTCTGAATGACTCTGTTTAAATCTCAATGACTGAAAAATTCATAAAGTTCGAAAATATGGTGTTTTTTTTGCATTAATGCATTATTTTGCATTAATGGGGGTTTTCTTTGACAGAGAAAGTGAATAGTGGTTTGACTTATTATACATCAAATTTACTTCTAAATGCACCAGTGGACCTGTTTATTTATTATTGTAAATGTTGTAGACACGTGGCAGTAAAGTGAGTTTGACATGTTATGTGAGGATAACATGAAGAGTAACTCGGGAACAGGGCACTGCATGTGAAAACACTGGGTGGTGCTGTTTATTTAGGTAGTTTATTGGTCTCCTCCGCCGTCGTAAGGGAGCCTGGTCTTGCGAGTGAAGCTAATTCAGTGAATAAAACGATAATAATTTAATAAATATGTCGGTCAGCGAGTCAAAGCCGGCGTTTTCTGAATCAGCCAGCGTTTAATGAACTGTTATGAGTCAGTCACAGATACTGTACGCCTTGGTTTCTCTCCCTCATCGTCTATTGGTTGGCTCCCTCTCTCCGCTGACCAATCAGCGTATTGTTGCTAGGCCGTCATCTCGTGCTGATTGGTTGTCTCGGCTGTCCGTCAGCGCGGGGGCGGGGCTGTAAGGCCGACGCGCCGCCGCGCTGTGCGTGTTTACAGTGTGCGGTTGTTGCTGGATGTGCGCGAGCACCGACGATACGCTGCGAAGTTCGTCGCGGAACATGTCAGAGACCCGCTGCGCGTGAATCTGCGCGTCCAGAAGATTCGAGACGGGACGACTGAAAGGTCTTCCCCATTCAGAGGTCAGTTCGGCTCGGTCCCGATCCGCGGAACCGTCCGGTAGCGTTTTACAGACTACGATGCCTGAAAGTTTCCCGCTGTATTGATCCGGTGTGTCTGAGCCGCTCACGGTTCGTGACAGCTACACAGAAGCGGCTTGTCTGAGGCTGTGCGCGTGTGCCGTGGGTCGCGGTGTCCGTGGATGTCCAGTCTGGGTTTAAAATAGCGTCTGCTGTCCAACAGAAAAACAGACCGTGGTCTGCGAACATGCCTTGACGTGGAAACGCGCTGCCCAATTACAGCCGCCCTCAGCGGGCAGGTCGGGTCTGAGGAACATGTGCGAACAGGATCGATCTGTTTACAGCGGAGGCGATTCGGCTGCCGTGTTTATTGATTTTCTGCACATCTTTGAGTGCTTTATTACGGAGCCCCGCTGGTGACATCCTGTATAAATAAAAATAAAGCGTGGCCACAACTTAGTAAAGTGTGGGAACGAGATCCTAATGCATTGCCACAACTTAGTAAGTCGTGATCTCGTTCCTACGCCTTACTACGGAGCCCCGCTGGTGACATCTTGTATAAATAAAAATAATGCGTGGCCACGACTTAGTAAGGCGTGGGAATGAGATGATCAAGTCGTGGCCACGACTTAGTAAAGTGTGGGAATGAGATGATCAAGTCGTGGCCACAACTTAGTAAAGTGTGGGAACGAGATCCTAATGCATGGCCATGACTTAGTAAGTCGTGATTTCGTTCCCACGCCTTACTAAGTCATGGCCACGACTTAATCATCTCATTCCCACACGTTAATAAAGCGTGGCCACGCATTATTTTTATTTATACAGGATGTCATCATCAGGGCTCCGTACCTTTATGGAAATGAGCCGTGTTCATAGTTACATTGCCATTGAGTTAAAGGGGAACTCCACTGATTTTTTAAAAATTCTGCATAATTAAATGGTTGAGATGTAAACAGAGTCATTCAGAGTGGTTTGGTGTGAAACGCTCCATTTTAAAGAAACTTAGGGTCAAAATTGTTCACAGTGGTGGTGATAGGAACCAGACGTCCACCTCTAAAAGCTCCCTCACAAGTCATTACACAACATGGTTATGAATTCACTGCCTGATGTCTGAGACGCTGTTTTGTGAAAGTTTTGGCTTAAAAATGTGTTTTAATCTATTTAACCCATTCATGGTGGAGGGATTCATGCGGGGCACTGTGAGGCAAGATAGTCCCCAAATAAAATGTATTTTTTTCAACATTACGTATGAAAACAAAATCAGAAGACTCGTGTAGGTTCACTGGTGGTTCTGGATAGTAAATAAAATGTCTATTTGTGTTGTAGTCATGGCGACCCCTGGTTCCTATCACCACCACAATGAACTGATTTACACCAAACCGCTCTGAATGACTCTTTAAATCTCAATGACTGAATAATTCATAAAGTTTGAAAATATGGTGGAGTTCTCCTTCAAGTTTTGAAAGTATCATTTGCAGCATCCGTGTTCTACGTTGAGGATTTTGCACCCAAAAATGCAAAGTTTCACTCTTTTATCTATAACAAGCAAATTATTACCTGTTTTTGTGATTAGATAAGAAATTGGCCTCGAATAAAAAAGTGACATCACTTTAGAAAGTGCTAATTTGCGGTCTTCTTGTCTTAAAATGTGTGCTTAAGTGTAAAAAATAATAATAGATCAATAATAACTGTGATTAAGGGCAAATCCACCAAATTTTCACAATTTCTGCTTTCAACAGTTGGAGATGTAAACAGCCATTCCGAGCAGTTTGATGTGAAACGGTTTGTTGTAGAGAAACTTACCGGCGGTAACAGAAACCAGGGGATGCAACGTCTACAAGTTTTAATATGTAATGTTGATAGTGATAGTAGTAGATCTGGAAAAAATGTTTACTTTGGGGACTGGTTTTGCCCCATGATGCACTTTATGTACCTCTATGCCATGTATGGATATTAAAGCATACAATTAAGACCAAAATCTGATCTCAGATCTCTCCTAAAACAAAGTCTCAGACACCAGGCAAAGTATTAATAACAATTCCATATAATAACTTTCTGTGAGGGAGCTTTATAGGCGTCTGGTTTCTCTAGAAAATGTTTACATCAGAATGACTGAACTGTGAAAAATTGGTGAAATTCCTCATATTTTCACGTTTTACCTGCACATCCTTTGTTAGTTTCCTCTTTACCATCATAAATCATTCACAATGATAATAAGTTGTGAAATAAGGGGATATTAGTCTGCTGTGTCTGATCCACTCAGACCAGCGCAACACACACTGACACCACCACCACGTCAGTGTTACTGCAGTGCTGAGAATGACCCACCACCCAAATAGTACCTGCTCTGTGGGGGTCCATGGGGGTCCTGACCACTGAAGAACAGGGTAAAAGGGGGCTAATGGGGGGCTGATCGGTGTAATTGTCCAGGACCGAGACGGACATGTAGAATTGTTGACAGAAGTACTTTAGTAAGAATTAAAGTAGTAATAATACATGACTCAGCTTGTATTCATGTTCCCCTGTGTTTGCCGTCTGTGTGTAGCTGTGACTGTGCTTATTTACCCTCTGACTACAACGTCTGACGCAAAGCAAGGCTGTGTGTTCAGTAGGAACCGATCAGGATCAGAACCGTTAATGTTTCGTAAAGGTGTTGGAGTGAAAACATAAAACATCTCACTTCATTTATGTAAACATGCAGAACATCCTGGTCGTGGAAGAAAAAAGGAAAAGTAGCTTCTGCTACAGCGGCTCTGTGCCTATTTTTAGAGCTACGTTAAAGGAGAATTTTTCTGATAATTTCTCTGGAAATTTCTGTGTAATTCAGTCGTTGAGATGTAAACAAAGTCGGATTGTTTTGATGTGAAACGGAGCATCATAGAGAAAGTTGCACTCTCAGATTCTTCACAAAGGTGATGGTAGGAATCAGGAGGTGTGCTGTCCACAGTGGATAATATAACCATACCTTTTTGCTCTTCAAAACCAGTGAACCTACACGTCTTCTGAGTTTTATGTGTAATGGTAATAATGGTTAAACAGTGCTAAATACAAAAAAATAAATAAATTGAGGAGTACTGTTTTGCCTTACAACACCCTGCATGTACCTTTATAATACATTATAGGCTAAAAGTTTACCACAAAACTATCATAAAACAATGTTTCAGACATCAGGCAACATATTTGGAACCATGTCATGTAATACACTATAGGGACAACAGTATTTATCATTGAACTCAGGTGTGTTTCATTCAGTTCTGTTGCCACAGGTGTATAAAATCGAGCACCAAGCCATGCAGCCTGCCTTTACACACATTAGTGGAAGACTGGGTCTAAAGAGCTCAGTGAATTCGAGCGTGGTGCTGTAATACGATGCCATCATTGCAACAAGTCAGTTTGTGAAATTTCTTCCCTCCTAGATTTTCCACAACTGTGAGTGATATTATTGAAAGGTTGCAGTGTTTAGGAACCACAGTGACTCAGCCACAAAGAGTCTGACCATGTAAAGTTACAGAGCGGATCGTCGAGCTCTGAGGAGCACAGAGCATAAAAGAGATCAACGCTCTGCTGATCAATAACTGCAGAGTTCAAACCTCCTCTGGCATCAACATCAGAAACTGCACTGGGAGCTTCATGGCAGGGTTTACGTGGCTGAGCAGCTGCATCATCACCCAGCACAATGCCAAGCGTCGGATGGAGTGGAGTAAAGTGCCGCCACTGGACTCTGGAGCAGTGGAAACCTATTCTGTGGAGTGACCAATCACACTTCTGTACCTGTCAGTCTGATGGACGAGTCTGGGTTTGGCGAATGCCGGGAGAACGTTACCTGCCTGACTGCACTGTGCCAGCTGTAGAGTTTGGTGGAGGAGGGATGATGATATGGGGCTGTTTTTCAGGGGTTGGTCTAGAACCCTTAGTTCCAGTGAAGGGAAACCTTAATGCTTCAGCACCAAGACATTCTGGACAATTGTACACTTCCAACTTTGTGGGAACAGTTTGGGGAAGAACCTTTCCTGTTCCAGCATGACTGAGCCCCAGTGCACAAAGCAGCTCCATAAAGGCCTGACTGGGTGAGTTTGGTGTGGAAGAACTTGACTGACCCTCACAGAGCCCTGACCTCAACCCCATCAAACACCTTTGGGATGAACTAAAAGGAGATTGTGAGCCAGACCCTCTCGTCCAACACCAGTGTCTGATCTCACAAATGCTCTTCTGGATGAATGGACAAAAATTCCCACAGACACTCCAACATCTTGTAGAAGCTTCCCAGAAGAGTGGGAGCTGTTAGAGCTGCAAAGGAGGGACCAACTCCATATTAATGCCTATGGATTTAGAATGGGATTAATTAAAGGTCCTGTAGGTGTGATGTGTAGGTGTCCCAATACTTTTGTCCATGTAGAGTAACTTTCTGAGGGAGCTTTATCACCACCACTGTGAGCTATTCTGACTTGGAGAACAGTGCATTTCACACCGAACCACCCTGAATAACTTTGTTTATCACGTCTTGGTGATTTAATATGCAGACATTTTGTAAAATGGTTTGAATGCTTTTAGTTGAGAAGTTTTGGGAAATCTTTCTTAGTGCTTCGTTGAATATTCTGGAGCTGAAACTGACCTTTGATCCTAGTGTACGTACACGTATTCTCCGTGTTTGGAGCATTGGCTTCGAAGGCCTTTCTGAACTGCTGTAGCTGAGTTTATTGGGACGGATGAGAATGCCAGAGGTGCTGAGCTGGCCATCTGCACTGCTGGCCTGGTGGGTCAGTCCCTGGCCTACATGCAGTACAGTACAGCCTGGTGGCATGTTGTGGCCCACACACCAACTGTGACCTGGATCTGTCCCATTTGTTTTGGACTGAATCTCTGCTCCCTCCTCTGTCGGGTGCATCCATCCTGTAATATATAACGATTCACAAACATCTCCGCTAACCCAGAGAACCACACGGCCGTCAGATCCAGGCGCAATGTGGCTTATTAGCCAGAGAACAGTCTGCGTGAAGAGAATG